CTATTTTAATTATTGAAAACAAAAAAAAAATTATTATTATTATTTTGTTATCAAAATTTTATCATACCAAAAAAACAAAATAAGAAAAATTTCCGCCAAATCTTGTTATTGTAGATTTAAAAAAAAAAGAAACGAAAAGAAAAGGAAATAAAAAAATGAAACGGGAACAAAAACACAAGCATTAAAAAAACATCAAAACAATTTTTTTTTTTATTTTTTATCATTTCACATATTTTTTTTTCGTAAATATTCATACATACATATGCGTACATACATATTAACATTATAACATAAACCATTATATATACACATATACATACACACTATATATAGGTTTTTATTTGTACCTTAATAATCGAGAAGAAAAATAAAATAATTTTAAGAAATTTTTTTTTTTATTAAAAAGTTAATTTTTTTTTCGGTTGTTTTTTTTTTATTTGAATTCCTTGTTTTTTTTTATATTTTTTTTTAAATCACTCGAAGTTCTTTTTTAGAATTTTTTTTTTTCAAAACATTTAAAAAGATTAATTTTTTTTTTATTTTCTTTCTCTTTTTTTTTCAATTTATTTTATTTTTTTTGTTTTTAATTTTCTATATGAGAATTGGAAGAAAACAAAAATTAGTTTGTATGTGTACAAGAAGGAGGAAGAAAATTAGAAGAAAAATAAAATTCAATATTAAAAAAAAAAAATTAAAAAAAAATAAAGAAATAAATTGAAAAATAAAAAAATTATTAAAAAATATTTAATTTTATATTATTTTTTATATACAATTAAAATAATTGAGTTTTTTTTTTTTTTAATTTTTAAATAAAAATTTATTTTATTACACAGAGGGGGAAAAAAAATTAAAACGAAAATTAATTTTTTTTTTTTTTGTAATTAAAAAATAAATTTAAAAAAGTTTTTTTTCTTTTTTTTTGTTAAATAAAACCGACCGGTTCAAATTTTCAAACAGAACTGATTAGAAAGAATGAAAAGTTTTTTTTTTAAAAAATCAAAATACAAAAAAAAAAAGAAGAAGAAAAATTAAAAGAAAAACTTTTTAACGTGCTACCGCGAAATCTTTTCTACATACAAAAAAATATATTATATACTCGTATATGTGTGTATGTTTGAATGTGTTTCTTAATATAACAATAAAAAATAATAATATGAGTATTAAATGATATACATATATTCCCTGCATACATAAGTAATTTAGTATATAGATAATATATGCATGAATGTATGCATAAAATAGAATAAGAATATAAAAATATATAATAAATATAAAATGTTTACATATACACATACTTATTTATGTATATAAAATAAAATATATACATATGTATGTCATATAAAAACATGTGAAATCGTAAATAAGTCAATAAGACCGTATATATACATGTGTATGGTGTAGTAATACATAATATATACGGTTATTTTATTTTATATTTATAGATATTTTTATTTATATTATGGCCCTATGTTCGTAAAATATTAAATTATTATTATACATATTCACATAATATCATATGTTTATTATTTACTATGTTTTGTAGTTGAATTTTTTTTATAAAAATATAATAATATACACATATATGTATGTATGTATATAATATATTGATATATTGTATTGCAAATTATAGGCTATATATAATATAAATAATATGTAGCACAATTTGATATTATTATTTATATTGTATATGGTATAATAATTGAGTATGTTCAGTGTTATACTAACGTTATAATGTACACAGTGATTTACAATATTTTCCAATATATAATACTAAATTGTTATGCGAACAATAGTACTAATTTAGAATACAATAAAATTACTATTAATATTTTGGAATTGGCAATTATCAAAAGGTACCTATGCAATTAATTACTTACAAGATGAATTATATAACTACTATATTATTATTAAAATTCCAATGAATTCAATTTATGACACTTAAAAATAAACGAATTAATTGAATATTTTTTTCAAGAGCAGAAAAAATTTTAATTGAATTCGGAAAAGAATATACGTACTTGATTTTTGCTAATACATATATACAATTTTGTGTGCAATATACGCACTTCGGCAATACTGATTTTCTTCTTAATCTCACAAATTTAAATCTCACAAGACAATTTTAATTGTTGGTAACACGGAAGTCAAAATTTTTTTCGTGATAATAATTACATAATAAGTTAAACTACTATTAATAATATTATTTTGCTTGCCACAACAATTCAAAAAATGTCTAATGCATGCAAAAAATATAAAAAAATTAAGTAAAATGTTCAAAATGAATTTAAAAATGAAAAATGCAACTATGTATGTATTTAAAAAATGAGCCGTATAACAAAATACCGAATTTTAACTTTTAACAATTATTGTGAATATTTTAATTATTTAAAATTTTAGTACTTAACATGATTAATAAACAATAGTACCAAAATCTTCGTAGAGTAACGTTATAATATAACATGATATGTCAGATCTGGTTTTTATTGTGTTACTATATATTTGCTATATATACACATAATATTGTTATATACTATTTATTTATGATATCGCCACAATTTATAAATCCATTATATACATATGTTTAATATATCAGTTGATAAAAGTATATAATTTTATTTATTCATATATGTACACATGTATGGATATATAATCTGTGTGTATTTCTGTATGTAGAAAAGTGTTTGTAAATAAAATGAAAAGCTAACATTTTTATGTATAGAAGTAATAAAAAAACAAAAACATTAAAGAATAAACGAAAACAAGAATTTAAGAAAAAAATATAAAAAGAAAAAAAAAAAGCCGATAAAAATTGTTTTCGTAGTGAATCTGTTGAAAATTCTACTTGTTGTTATCAGGGGCAATCAAAAGAAAAATTTTTAAGTTATTTAATGGAAAATTTTACTAATATCTATGGTATATACATAATGTCGAAATTATTTTTTGGCTACTAGACTATAAGAATTCGCGTCAAAACAAAAATACATTATTGTGAATTAAAGATCTTTTTCATTTCATATTATTGAATTTACAATATTATTAGCTGTTATTACTATGTACATAGTACTAATTTATTTTTATTTTTGTATGAATATCAATTGTATGCAAATAAGTTGTAGGTGCTTTATTGAATTTTAGTTTATATACTATTTTTTGTTTAAAAAAACAAATTCAAGTAAGAATAAATAATTTTCTTTAAAAAAGAGTTTCCATTATGAATAATTATGATCTACGTAATATGTATGCGTGTAAGTATTTAAGTATATAAATTATTGCAATACTATTTTATTTACATACGCATTCTTAAATACATTATACATATATACACATATGCACACAAATGTACGTACATAGAATCTTCAAATGTATATGTGGAATTGAATGCATTCGATTAATCAGCTGTTAGATTACAAACTTTAGCGTAATGAAAATCAAGTGGATACCCAAACTACATACATATGTATGTTTACATGTATGTACTACAAAAAAATAAATTAATATGCTTATAACGTAAAGTAAATACCGCATCAACTTTCATAAACACACACATATACATATATACATTTGTATATATGGACATATGCTTACCTTTCCACATAAAGCCATCTAGATACTAAATGCATAACAAAGTATACATACCTACAAGAAAAACATAAATAGTATCCAAGTGCATATGTATATAATTATTTGTAAATTACAAAGCAGAAATTACATAAATATTAACAAGTAGATAAACTAATCCATATAGGATAGTGCAAGTATTTTTATTTTAATTCCCATCCCGAATACCGTTACAAATAAAAAACATTAAACACATGAAAATTTCATCACCTGTATTTCGCTATCAACATTCGATGCACATACATATACGAGTATATATAAGTAATTACATCTGTATACGCATTTTGCACATACATATGTACTTATACTTACATCTGTATATGAATTTTACAAATATGTATGCATATTAAATTTTAATATAGAATCTGATAGGTACTTTCGGATTCAACCGGGTACATTCCTAGATATGATGTACATATGTAAGTATGTACATATGTATATCGCGTTATAATTTATGCCAATCACTTCTAAAATCAGATGGAAAAGAAAAAAAACATGAAGTGACATTTATTCATATTGTACATATAATCTATATACGAACATACACTATTGCTATGTACTATAAAAGAATTGCTATTTTTTATGCATAACACATACAATAATTATGTTTTTCAATTTTCTACCTCATTTCATTACACATTGAAACATACACAATCATATCAATGAATGATAATAAAATGTATATACATACCTATTACATACCTATAAATTCGAAAACATATGATCAATTCACAATAATAATATTACTTAAATAACTTGTGAATTAGCATTACAGCATACTGCCACTTTGTAGTTAAATTGATTGTCCAATTATTTCGTATAGATTAGCAATAGTGAGAATTTATTAGTAGGCTAATTTTTGAGTTACATACAAAATTTAAATAATTTTTGTTTTAAAAAAAAAAAACAAATATAAATTTTTGTTATAATTTTCAAATTGTAATATTTTGTATTTATAAAAATTCTAATATTGATAATCGGAAAAGAGAACATATTTATATTAGAAGAGGTTTTATATTTAATACAATTTTGAAAGCTCTTGTTGGAAATTAAAAAAAAAATACATGCGACAATAAGAAGAACTAACGTTTTCACTTATACAGTGCAATTCGACTCCAAAAATTGTCAAATTTTCATAATTTATTTTAATATCTGTTCTATCTTTTATGCATGCCAAATAATGGCTTTTCTCATAATTTCAGATAACGACAAATTGTATTCGGCTAAAATTATATATTTCGGGCAACACTTTGCAATAGTTGACATTTTGTCTCTCGAGAAATTTGACATTTTCTTTGTTTACATTTTTGCAATACATCATGTGACATTTAAGAGATAATAATATTTATAAAATAATATTAAGTAAATCTAAAAAGAAGAAAACACATTAGAAATAACTTAAAAGTGAAAAAATTATGAGCTTAAATGCAGCTGGAGATAACCAAATCGTAAAATTTAAGATAAGTATACAAAATTTGAAACAGGAAATTAATGATGGGAACGATTTTTTAAAAGAAAAATGTGGAGAAATAAATATAACAAATAATGGAATATTTGAAATAAAATGTTCATTATGCGGCATATATTTTACAAATGTAAGAAGTTTTGCGAAACACGTACTGCAGAATCATTACCATTGCAATAATGATTCTACTATAGACGCTTTTATGGAACTAAATCACCATAATACAATTGATATGACCAAAACTGAAAGTCACCAAATTCTGCAGGATAAAAATTTAAGTTTAGAAGAGCAGAAACCACTTATTTCTAATGAAGTACATGAAAAAATTTCAAATTTAAAAAATGATAATATGACAATCGAAGAAAATAAAGTTTCAATGGAAAATGTATTAAACATGACTGAAAATAGTATGGAGGATGAGAAATTGAAAGCTTCTGATATTACGAAACGTAATATAACTGGCTATGATTCTAGTTGTGACTCCGAGAGCTTTCCATCTAACGAACATAAAGGCAACCATGACATAGAAAAAGTTGAATTGTTGAATCAGTTAAGCAGTTCTAGTTTTTCTAAAGAGGAAAATGATAAAAATTTGGATCAAAATGATTTGGATTCAAAAGATTCAAGTTTTAAAAATTTAAAGATTCGTAAAACAAAATCTGTGAATGCTTTAAATGAAAAGCCTATATGTAAAATTTGTGGGAAACAAACTGCAAAGTACAAAATGCGTCAACATTTACGTTCACATGATAATAGCCGGTATGTACATCAGTGCAAAATATGCTTAAAATTATTTATATCCGAAAAAAGTCTAAATTTTCATATTAAAAATATACACACTGAAGAAAAACCATTTATATGTATAATAGAGGGATGTGGTAAGAAATATGTTAATGAAAATGCACTCAATGCACACATAAAACGTCATGGTGGGCGACCTTTTTCTTGTGATATATGTGGAAAGGGGTCAGTATTAATCTATCATTTTATATTAATAGATAACAATAAATATTTTCTTTAACAGATTCCTATATCAATCACGTTTAAATGAACATGTTGCACAACATATAATAAAATTAAGAAAAGAAACTGGTAAATGTGTTTAAAAGAAGTAAATTAGCTCTTTTTTGCGATTACAAAAAATTTATTTTAGGATTGGAGACGTCATTAATAGCCAATGGGGATAGTTTGCAATGTTCATTTGAAGAAAAATATGATCCTTCTAAAAGAAAAAAATTTAAACAAAAACAAATTATAAAAGCACAAAGAAAACCAAAAAAAGTAGTTTACATATCAAAGCCAATCGAAAAAATTATTTGTGATATTTGTGGTAAAGAAACTCCTAAAACAAATATGAAACAACATTTAAGATCCCATGACAGTTCACGTTATACTCATAAATGTAACATTTGTACAAAATTATTTATATCTGAAAAAAGTTTAAATCTTCATATAAAAAATTTACATATTAAAAATCGACCTTTTGCATGTACATTTGAGCATTGTGAAAAACGATTTGTTAATGAAATTGCTTTAAAATCACATGCAATTAGACATACCAGTCCAAGACAATATAAATGTGAAACATGCAATAAATCGTAAGATAATTCACCAAATATTTTTTAACGAATTTATAATATTTTATATTTTCAATAGATTTATTTATCAACATCGTTTGGAAGAACATATAAAAATATATCATGTAAATGGACGTATTTTTAAGTGTGAAACATGTGAAAAAAGGTTTAAATATATTTATATCTACATTTATTTATTAACAAAATATAATTTACTTTTACTTTTAGATTTTTTGATAAGCATACGTTAGAGCGACATCAAGTAGTTCATAGTGCAGAAAAACCTTTTATATGTGATGAATGTCCAGCAAAATTTAGTCGAGAACGTTCTTTACAATGGCACAAAAAATCACATACTGGCATAAAAGATTATATTTGTAAAATATGTGGTAAAAAATATGCACTTTATAATGGAATATATTCGCATATGAAAGTTCATGGAATTAAATATTCAATGGCGTATGAGAAAGGTCTAACAGATGGAAAAATAGAAAGTGATGAGCAAGTGACTTAAAATTAAATATTCTTAAGAAAATTTAAATTGTACTGTATAAATTGTATATGTACTTACTATAATTTATCTCTAATGCGAAAAGTATTATAGACAATCACATTTTATTGCATTTCAATTAGTTAATAAGTTTTGTTTAACTTCAAATAGTGTCTATTATATTTAGTTTTTTTTTTTAGAAAATATTATTACAAAATTAAAATTAAAAAAAAGAAAGATAAATAAAAGATAAGTAATTGTTTTTCTGTATGCGTTTTTAAAACACAATTATATTTTGCATTGACTCTCAATTTAAATACAATTTTTTATATTTGTTTTTGAAACAAGGTAAATAATATATTATTGAATTTTAATAAATACATATTATATAAATATTTTTATAGAATGTTCATTTCAATATTGGGACATTAATTATACAAGTATTAGAAGATTTTTATTCCAATTCGAAAATATTGTTCATTTGATTTAAAATTTTATTTTTCTTTTAACAAAATTACCATAATATTCTTGTTATAAATTTTTAAATTATAAGTATTAAAATATTTTTTGAATATATTGGTAATAAACTTATTACCATATTCATGATCTCTGGTTAAATTTCTACGTTTAAGTAATTTGTTTTTAAATTTTCCTTTTCTAAATAATCTTTAAACATGACATTTCTATGTTAACATTTTTTGCAAAACTTTTTTTTAAAACTATCGAAAATTTTAGTTTTTCGTACAGATATGTGAAAGTACGGATGTTTTATTTTGATTTTTTGATTTCATGAAATTAATCGTTTTTTAAATTCTACTTGGTTTTTAAAATTTTTTTATTTAAAGATCGTTATTATTAAAATGTTTTATATAATTAATTTTAATTTTTTTAGTTTTATATTGTTCAATTATTTAAGATTTTTAATTTCTAATAATTTATAAATATGTTATAAAGAATAAATTTATTTCTTTTTCAAATTTTAAGATTTATTCAATCACAATGATCACATATTAATATATTTTTATTATTACTTTTAAAAGAAAAATAAAAATAAAAAGAAGCTTAAATATTTAGAATTATTATGAGAAGAATTCATAAAATTAATTTTATATAGTTTTATAATTTATTCGATTTTTCTTTTGTTATATTAAATATTTAATTTAATTTAATTTATGGACACATGATTTTATTGAATATTTAGTAATTTTGAGATATGCTTGAAAACAAAACAAAAGTTACTTTTGTTGTTTTATTTGAAGAAATTTAATTCGTTCTGATATTTAAAAGTATATGCGATTCTTATTGAAAAAGAAAAGAAAATTTTATTACTTATTTGTCGATTTTTTTTTTCTAAATTTAATGATTTTATCACCTTTATTAGAAACACACTTTATATCTACTATAACTATTGATGCGCAATTTTATCACTATAAGGAAAAATTTTTAAGTAAAACTCATTTAATGCTCTGCATACAATATTGCTTTTCAATACGAATAAAAATAATATTTTGATATAATGCTTTGTATTAAACTTTTTTATATTAGTTTCGTTTTTTTTAACAATTTTCATATTCATATTTATCATTAATATATATATATATAAATAATATTATAAAATAGGAATATGAATTATTTATTAAAACAGAGAAAATAAAGTAAACAGTAGTTTACAGTAGTAAAATTTCAGTCAAATATTTTTCATATTGATTTTATTTTTGTTTTTGAAATATTAAAACTTTAGTGTATATTTAAATATATTTTTTTTGATAATTTGATTGAAATTTTTATTTTAAAAAATTTAAATTTGAATTGAATAATTATATAAGAACAATTATACATAATTTAATATTAATTTGCATGAATAAAATCTCAAACTTCACTTAATTTTTTTTTTGATATTGTTAAAGTTAAAATTGCAAAAATGATGTTGTTTTTAAGAAATTTTCATATTAAATTTTACGGAAACTAAAAAGAAAAATGTATAAAATTAAAAATATTTTTATATTTTTGTTCGCTTAATTGCAAACTATATTAAAAGCACCTTAATTTCTTCTCTACAAAATCTATCTAGATTTTTTAATATGTATTTATAATACTTAATAAACTACTATTTTTATGCTATGATCTATTATCACCAATTCTTGATTAAAAACAAAAAAAAAATAGAATAAAAAATGTAATTTTGCATAATTCTCATAATATTTATAATTTGAGATTAATTCTAAATAATATTTTATAAGTAAACTTTTTATATTTTATTCAATTATTAATTTTAATATTATAAATTTCAAATTTTAATTTCTTAAAAATTTAAATAACAATATTGTAAAAATTCGCTGAGAATGTTATATATACACATATTACATTGAATATAATTTCATATGTGTAATTTAAAGCTCTTAACTAACAAAAAAAAAAAATTATAAATACTTTCTGTTCGATTATGTATTTAAAGTTTTTCATTGATAAATGTTTCTTTTTTGTTGTTTTTGTTGAATAAATATTATTCGATAACATTATTATCAGTATAATTTTTCGAATTATTAATTACTATGATTATATTATTGCAATTTTTTTTCTACTTTAGTTTGTTTTTGTTTTCTATACAATATATAGTTGATCTTTTTTGTTTTTTTTTTCTACATTATACATAAATATTTATTATATTAATTATTCTATTTTATCTAATTGGGTTTTACTTTTTTTAAAACGATATTCAGATAGAAATTTTGATGTCTCTTCAAATTGCTTATCATGATCGAATAGAGCACCTGTAAAAAATTCACTAAATAATCGACCCATATATTGATCCTTACTAGAAGGCCACCATCCCTCTAAAAATCCAATATGTCCACCACGTGCTGTTACAACAATAGCAACATGACTTGATTCTTCGGCTGCTTTCATTGGAATAGCTTAAATATAAAATTAATTAGTAAAAAAAAATTAATTTACATTTCTAATTGCTATTTTGAATTGAAATACAATGTAAAGAAAAAGAAAACTGAATATAATTACCATCCAATGGTTGAAACGGATCATCGGCGGCACTCAAACAAAGTAAAGGCACTGATATCTTATGTAATTTATTGTGTAAAGTTGCTGCATCATAGTAATGATCAACTGTTTCATAACCAAATTGTTTTGATGTAAATAAAGCATCGAATTCTTTTATTGTTTTTGATGACATTATACGGTCCCAATCAATATCTGTATCACGAAATATTTCACATCTGCTTAAAGTACGGCATAAACTTGAAGTTAAATGTCTTCCTAATAAACAATTTAATACTGGTGTTTCAATACTTATGGTTCCTTAAAAAAAAAAATTAAAATAAAATTTTATTAAGAATTCAAAAAAAAAAAATAACATCTATATTAAAAATACCCTTATGAACATCCCAAGGTACTGAAATTATTTTTGCTGCTGTTAGTATTCTCTTCGCTTCTTCACTATGATTTGATAAATAGTTTCCTATTATATTAAATTAAATTTGAAAATAATTTAAATAAATAAATAATAATTTAAATAATAAATTAAAGCTAGGTATTTGAAAATAATTTACCGAGAATTAAACCACCCATTGATATACCAGTTGCACCCAATTTTACATGAGGATTTTTCTTACGAACATGATTAACAACTTCTGATAAATCTTCACAATTTGCTGCACAATATAATCTTGGTGTTTTTAATGGTATTCCACCTAAACCTCTATTATTGAATACAACTGCTCTAATACCAGCATTATTAGCAGCAGTTACTAAACATTTAATATATTCAGCTTGTGATTCACCAGTTAAACCAGGTAATATTATAATTACAGGGGAATCAGATTTACAACCACTTTCTAACCAATCTAATGCAACTTCACCACCATCTTTTAGTGTAAGAATTTCTCTACAAAAATTAATAACTTAAAAAATCTTTTAAGATAACTGAAAAAAAAAATCTTCAACTTTACCTATCATAATTAATTTTTGGTAAAATTTGAGAACGTAAAATACTTGCAAAAACTGTTTGTGCACGACTTTCAACACACCAAAATGTTGGCCAAAATTTTGTTTCTAATGTTGGAACATTTTTCATAAGGAATGTTTTAAATGGTCCATCGGATACAGCTAATATTGGGCGCTAAAATATATAAAAAATAAAATTAATTAATTTTAATTGAATTGTAAATAATATTGTACAAAATTTTTAAAGTAATATTAAAAAAATTCAAGACTATGTAAGTCTACAAAAACAAATTCTACGTCAATTTGACATAATTCAGCGGCAAAATCTTGATTGTTGAATAGGTCAAATTGATATTAGGCCTATATTAAATTTAGAACAAAAAGTTAGAATTTAAAACAAATTTTAAATAAGATGGCTTACAATTACAACCTCTAAAATATTTCTATATTTTAGAGGTGCATTACAATAAATTATACAATGACATGAAACAGTGATTTTGAGTTAGACTAGTGCGTTTCTTATATATAGGCAGAAATGCTTATAAATAATGCAGAAAAGTTACATTCCGATACATTCCGATACATTCCGAACATATCCGATTCCGACCTAATTCCTGGTTAAACTACAGAATACATATTATAATTTTTAGTAATTCAGCTCTTTTTTAAAACAAATACGGCAATTCTATTTTTATTAATGTAAAAATATTTTGTATTTTTCGTCACAATTTTCGAAAACTTTTTAATAAAATAATCAGTTTAATAATATTGTAACATAAACTATTACATAAACTTTCTGTGAAGTGGGTGTTATTGTATCATTCTTTTAATAAACAATGAAATTATTCAAGAGGGCAATACAATTTTAATGATAAGTTTAAGGAAACATTCGTCTAAATGAAATTTACCTTTATTTTTTTTATTATTTAATTGTGTCCTAAAAGTATGTAAGTAAAATGAGCTAATAATCAATGTAATAATAGAAATGTAATTAAACTGAGTTATGTCATATAATATGTATATATGTAGGTAGTTATATTATTGTACTATACATATTTCCGACATAATCACAAAACAAGGAAAGAACCTCTTTTTTACCATTCTATAAATAAAAAATTTCAAATTTCGTTTATATAAAAATTTTTTTTTTTTGAATAAACCAACTTTTCCTCCCACCTTAATATTTTTTATTCCCCAATTTATTTTATATTTAAACTTATATTTACAAAATTAACCTAACTAGGATATAGTCATCATAATATCACCTAAGTGGTTTAAATTGAGGTTAGTTTTAATAAAAGATGGAGAAATGAAAAAATCAAGAGGAAAATAATAATAATGAAAAAAAAAAATTGTAAGGTGGTTATTTTTTTTTCGAAATGGAGGGGGTGAAGGTAAAAGGTCAAATATATAAAAATAAAAGTGTATACAAAAGTTAAATTTCTAAATAGAATAACTATTTTTAAACATTTTATTTTCGCTTTTTTGTTTTTGTATAGTTACGTGAAATTTAACGTGAAATTTTTCTAAAAGAATTTTTTTAATAATTTAAAGAAAAACATAAAAAAACTAAATTTGGAAAAATTTTCATTCAGATTTTCTAATATTTTATATATATTTTAATGTACCGGAAGTGTGTGCGTTTGTGTATTATAAGGTTAAGTGCGTACAAAATTTGTAAAGGCATTGCGGTTATACTTTTATCTGTCTGTCTGTGTTTTGCTTGGAATGGCATATTGCTTTATAAATAAATTTTAAAAATTTCTATATAAATAGAATTTTAGAGTAAATAGTAATTTTTCGTTTATTACAAAGTAAATACGCTGTTATACGTGTGTAAAATATATTGTAAATTATTAAAAATGGAATATTAATGTTATTTATATCTTATTGATAAAGTGAGGAAATTGTATTTCGATATATAAATTTAATTTAATAACTATATTAAAAAAATTTTCAAAAGAAATTAATTAGACGTAGGGAAATAAGATTTGAGCCTTATTGCGCCAACTGCTAATGAGCCAATTTTTGAAATGAATTGTACAAAAGTAAAATTAAAAATGGTGAGTTGAGAAATATATCTATTTTCCATATTCTTTTAGCTAGATTTTTGATATTTCATTAGTGGTGTATAAAATGACATAAAATGAGCATGTGCCCAAAGCGTAAGTAAGATGTTAAAGCGCTGCACGCTATATATGTTATACACACACATATATCCACATACAAGTTATAAAACACAATATTTTGTTTTCAAATCGTATAACTTTAAACATATACTTTTGATATTGTACTAAATTGTACTTTTAAAATTGTATAACTTTTTTAACATATATTTTTAATTACATTGATATCTTATACTTTACAGTCAAACGATTTCATCTCCCCACCCCCATTTAATACTATATGCGCACGATATGTCATATATAGTGGCACGACAATGTCATTCAAGTATTATTTTAAAATATTAGAATAATATTAAAGTTATCTCTTTTATAAATTTATAGGAAATTCTTGTATACATACGTACATTTAATTTGAATAAAACTATTATTAAAATTTAGGAATATTAAACAATTTTAAAAATTCTTTAGTCTCAATTACGAAGCTACTGGCGAATGCGAACTACTGCGAAGCAAGTAAATTTTGACTGAGAATTGAGTTTTCGTATACTGTACTATCGTATCTAGAAAGACCATAGTACACTATACTGTTTTGAAGGGACTGTGTGGTGATAAAAGATTGCAAAAGCTTGACATGCGTATATTAAAAAATTTGAAAACTTACTTTGAACAGTAGTTACTTAATATTGTCAATAAATTTAATTTAATAAATGAATTAACTGAGTGACTTCAACTGAGTGGAATAACTTTCATTCAATTATGCATTTAATTTCAATATGAATATATAAAAATACAAAAGGTTTTTAAGCCTTACCATTAATATATTATTTGTACTATCTATATATATATATATATTTATAATAATGTAAATGAATATATTCAAAGAATTAAAGAAATTGCACTTAAAATGCGTCACTAATCTACGAAAATTGTGAATAAATTTAATAAATTAAAAAAATAAATTAGAAATACAATATATATGTATGTATTCATGTGCTTCTTTTATACCTACATAAAAATTAATTTATTTTCATTAATTTTCATTGCATATATACATAATATATATACATAATATAAAAATATAAATTTCTATTAGATTTAAAAAGGAAGATACACTCGTACTATTCACAATAATTCTCATAAATCTGCATATACATATACACATAAATATTATGTACGTTTTTATAATATTATTAAAGATTTTCTATAGAATGTAACGATCTATTATTTTTGTATAAAAATATTGAATTTTGTTAAATTACGGTAAAGAAATATTACCGACATTCTACATACATAAATATTATTATATAGAACTCAATTCATCTCTAAAACTAATTTTCCAATTAAGTTTTTGTATTCTAAATTATATTCTAAGTATATATAGAATATATAGTAACTAAGTGCAAAATTTTATGACCACACATAATAAAAACTTTTTATATTACATATTTAAATTATATTATGTAGTAAATACAATATATAGAACTTTATTGTGTATTTAAATATTATTGAGAAGGTGATTTGACCTTAAAATCTGATTAAAAATTAAGTAATGAATAAAGGTGCAATGTAAGAAAGAAAGCATTTTTTTTTTATTTGTTTGGTATAACAATTGAGTTCTAAACTAAATAATTTCTTTACTGTACACAGATATGTATATAGAGTTAATATGTATGTCGCTGAGTTTTGAGTATAAGAATTAAGTGTATAGCTTTATGTTAATTTATAAAACTGATAATATATTCTTATATTAAACATTTTTTGATCCAATTGACGACAATCAATTTATCAGTCGGGTCAGTCAATGTACCGGCGAAAAATTTACCGGTCAAACAATTTACTAGTCGCTCAATTTAGAAGTTAATCAGCCTCACGATCCTCACAAAGCTTAATATTATTAAAATTAAATGAGCTCGCAAAGAAATTACAACATTGATTTTGTAATCAATTAAAGGAAATTATTTAATTATTTAAAAATTTTGAATTCAAAATAATTTGATATGAGTTCAATTATTCAAATATACAATGCAGAAATTTCACCCTTTCCAAATTTTCTATACTCTTTATGGATAAAGTTTTAGGCGTTAATTAAAAAATTATATTCACAATTATATTATTTTTTTTATTAATTAGAATATACTCACTTTTGCCACTTGAAATAAATAATAAACGACATAACCAACAACTGCAATTCCAAGGACATGCCATCTTGGTAAATTTGGTAAACTATCATAAAGGCAGTCAATCATATTTTTATTGTTAATATTATCACTTTTTATATTAATTCTATTTAAATTATTATTGTACGGATTTATTTTATTCCTAAATTGACGTTCTTTTAAAAATTCAAACGGATACTGAAAATATAAAGAAAAATACAATTATTTTTATATATATTAAAAAAAAAAGAAGAAAAAAAAATATAAAAAAATAACAACGCTAGTTAAGTGCTATATTTTTATACAGTTAAAAAAAAGAAATAATACTAATTTATTTATTTTATACAGAAATATATATATATATATATATTAAATTATTTATGTATATATATGTATATATATCATGATATATATATATACATATATATCATGATATATATATATGATATATATATATATATCATATATATCATGATATATATATATATATATCATATATATCATGATATATATATATATATATCATGATTTGATATATTGAAGTATATATATAATAATTGAGCGAAACTGTAATGCATTTGAATTATTATTTGTGTATATACAAATGAAACTTATATGATTAATTTTAACTACATATAGAGCTAATTAATATTAAAGAATTAATAGCCCTTTTGGGAAATTTAATTATATAAATTGAATAATCAAGGGAGGGAGAGAGAAAAATTAAATGTAAATTAACAAAATTAAATTTTTTATATAAAAAATGAAAAAATTAAAAAAAAAATTGAAAATTGTAAATTTTCGATATTGGAATCCCGAAGCCCCTACTTCCCTCCATTCAATGTCGAAAAGTTTTAAAATTTTTAGTGAAATTGGTAATGAATTTTTTAAATTATTTTTTTTTTTTGAAATATGTATTTCAAAGCAATATATTTAGAAGATTAAGTAGATTCATAGATTTAGCAGATTTTTATAAAGCCCATTTCGGACATTGGCCTCCGTACTAGCGATATTATGTTGAAAATTACTAAAAATTTTTTGAACCCAATACAAGATTCTTTATGTAAATGCTCTGTCGCATACTATATTCAATAAATTTTTTTAGCTCTTTTCGTATAAAATTTTTTGTTGCCTTATTAAAAGGACCCTTTACAAATTATTTAAAAATATATCATGAGATATGTACATAATATGTAGGCATTATAATTAAAGTAATAGAGCTTACAAGTGGTATTAAAATTTTTCTGCGTAATTTACCTAATTTTTTAATCAATAAGAAATTAATCAAATATTTATGTAGTTGTTTACATAAAACAGAAAAATTCTAATTTTATAGAAATTTTTTTTTTTTTGAATATAACACACACCATTCTATAATTATGGCAATATTGTTAATAAAATTAGTTTACGCGCAATGTTAATAATTATGTTTGATTGATGGTTCTCAATATTTATTCACTTATTTAAAGGATAATAATTAATATTTAATTATTATATAGTTGTTCCACTTCATTTTAACATTGAAAATATAGTATGTAGTTAAAGAAAGGTTTTTTGTGTTCTAATAAGTGTGTACAATTAATTTATTTAATTGATTTATTAACAAAAGATATTCTTGATATGCATATTAAGAATTCTTAAAAACTCAATTTATTAATTGGTTATTTGGTTGGGAAATTACAAAAATACTTTAAATAAACTTTCAAATAATTTTCAATCACAACTACATAAATATTTACAATATAAGAATTATCTTCAACTCATCTATTAGGAGAGTAATCGTATAACACTAATTGCGTTACCACAAAGTTGTCGAAATTCTATATTCGTATTTGAGCGTAAATTAAGTTCCGATTTGAGCGTAATATGATATGGAAAAAAAAATGAGAGAAAATTTTTAAAAAATAAATATTAAGTTGAAACTCAGAGATATTATATTAATTTGAAGGAAGACATAAATATGAGAATTTATGAAGAGTAAATGATTGAATGAAGTTGCACAAGTTGGCTCTCACTTATTAAATAGACAAAATTATTAGTATTTTTCACCTTATTTCATAATGCGTAATAACCTACTGTATTCAAACATGGATTACATCGCTACAAGGATTCGTTACAAAGATTACAATACCGTAGATTTATAATAATCTGTATGAATATAAAGTAAGAACTTTAACTGCAAGGATTCACATACAATATAGCGGGCTGACACTGGATCTCCTCATAAAACGTAGGTTTTTAATTTGGCTCTAATGTGAGAAAACTCTACGCCATCTAGGAACTGAAGTTGTTCATGGTTCATAATTCCATTTGCTATACAAGAAAACTATTGATTTTTATATATGTACATTTTTTTTGTTATTTTTTTATTCAAATATTGATTGTAGTTTTTTACTGATGAAAAATACTCTTTTATCGTATTTTCATGTAGATTATAGTTGAACAAAAATTGCATAGTTACAAAATTAGTTTTACATAATACAAATAAATTGTTTCTATAATATAATATAAAAATATACTTTTATACTTTATAAAAGCTTGTAACTAGCAAACAGAAAAAACACAAAATAAACAAGAATTTTTATACTCTTACGAAGGTATGTTCGAAGAGTATACTAAATTTGTCTTATCGTTTGTAACACTAAGATATAACGGTCTTAGATATAGACTCAAGTGTATGTTTTTGATCAGCGTTGAATTCTGAGTCGATTTAGCTTTGTCTGTCTGTCCTCCCGTCCGCCCGGTAACTCAAAAATTAATTGAGCTAATTTCACCAAATTTTCACAAATGATTTATTATAGTAAATGCCAGAACCCTGTTTAAATTGGATATGACAGGGGTTCTGGTTCGGGTAGCTGCCATACAACTTCAAAATTTATTGAGCTATATCTCAGAAACTATAGCTTTTATAGTAATGAAATTTCACACAAACGTATATATTAGTATAGCCAATGTTTTTGATAAAATTCGTTAAAATTGCTTAGCTCTTTCTGGTAGCTGCCATACAACTTCAATAGTTGTTTGGCACACACAGTATTTTGAAAAACACAGTACTGAAATTTTGTATAAATTAATATGGTAATACGGCAACTTAACGTCATAATCTGTCCCATAGACAGTTATAGCATATGTATTCGCACATAGAATAGCAAATTCGTACGGGTATCACAGAGTTGACACGGTCAACTCTATTTTTTCTCATTTTTATATAATTTGTTTTTTTTAGGTTAAAAGCGATTTTTATCATGTTAGAATAATACATGATTTATGCTTCTATTTAGTAAATTATAACTTATGATAAACTTGTTTTATTACTACTATTTTTTAACCTAATATGTACCTAGTTAAAAGAATGTAGAGATAAAAAAAAATCACAATCGATTTTGGGAAAAATTTTTTATAATAAAACGCGGGTGGCACCAAATACTTCATAATCCAATCTTTATATATAAGTAATTGTAATTACATACTTTATTATTTACTTATTTTCCATACATGCATTAAATTTGTAGATAATCGATAAGAATTCATAATAATGACATTAAAGTATGGGTAAATTATTGGGAAAATTAAGCTTGCATGTTTACTGTAAGCTTACGGTGTTTTTCAAATTTATTTAATTTATAAATTAATGAATTAAAATATTTATGTATTACATAAATACAAGAATTATAAAATCAAAAATTTATTAAGGATATGCATGAATTCATATGGTAGTGAAGAAGACTTCTTACGATCGTGATTCCTTGATGCTTCTAACTAGCATCCGAAATATAATTGTTTTTGAGATATATTCATAAATAGCTTTTAAAATTATATACGCAGTTTGTACTAAAATCGTATTATTTCGATAACAATTGAATATCAAATTGGGTTCGATAAATTCCAAACTGACAAACTCACGGAAATTGATAATGAAGAATGAATCGCTACGAATAAAACTGTAAGTTAATTCAATCACAAGCATATAACTAAAAAAATATGCTTGAAATACTCAATTGCTAAAATTGTTCAGAGATTCCATGAGAAATTTTATGAAAATTCATTAAAATCCTTGTATTTCGTAAACCGTTGAGATGTGCCACCTAAGAGAAAATTTACTCATTTTTGATGCCTTGGACTAAACGATGGTGTATATTAGGTCACTGTTTACTGAATCAGGCTGTTATATTTTGTATAATTATAACTATTAGAAGGAATTCCCTTGAAACATTCTTCTATACAGCTTCTTCCTACCAAAGAGTAGGAAAAAGTTATTTAATTTGCTTTCACATTTATTTTATATTCATAATTTCAAATTTTTCAAATTTATAATATACACAAGAAATGCATTAAAATATTAAAGAAATCACATTATAATGATGTATAGCAAAAGAAATATACAAAAAAAAAAAGGATACACAAGCAATTATTTAAATCAACGCTTATTTGGAGCAAAAAGCAGAAAAAAAAAACAGTGAAAAGCAAACGATTAACAGTGAACAGACAACGGTAAATAATGAGGTTCATAATTATTGTGAATAATAATTTCTTACTATCATTATTTTTGTTTTTTATATTTTCCTTTCCTTTGTGTGATTATTCATTTTTAAATAACTAATACCTATGCATACTTTCTCCTTCACCCACGTACCTTTATATGTGCCACAATAATGCATAGGCATAATATGTATAGGAAATATAGGTGGTGGTGAAGGTAGAAAATTGTGGTAGTTAATTGTTATAATAAAAAATAAATAAAATAAATGAGAACAAAATAAAAATGCAAGCGTACTTTACTACTTACCGAGTTAACAACAAAAAAAAAAACAATAAATTTTTCAGAAAAAAAAGAAAACTATAAAAACAACAAAAAAAAATTTCATATTTATTGATTTTTTGTATTTTTTTCTCTTTCACCTACTTTATGTGCATGCATGTAAATATAGGGTAAACAGAAATTTTCTTTTGTCCTGAATATCCTTTTTTTTTAATGACATACAAAATTTATAAATACATAGAATATATTTGTGTACACACATGTTTAATATAAAAATGCAAATGTTGTAATAAAAAAAAAACAACATTTTTGTTTTCTATTTTAATAACGATTTTATAACGTTTGAAGGGGGAGGAGAAGGAGGGCGGGAGAGACTATGAATAGATAATGTTATAACTAAGAATAGATAAAAATTTTATGCATATAGTCAAAGTTGAAA